CCCTCGCTTTTTTTTAATGTCAATTTTAAAGTTTGAAAAAAAACATTCATACCTAGATTTTAAAAAGGGAGCTCTGGTAGTGTAGTGCCTAAGGCACTTTACTGCTAACCAGAAGGCCGGTGTTTCAAATACACCAGCCACTCCTCGGAAGGAAAGTTGGGCAATCTACTTCCGTTGTGATACCGCCTCAGAAACCCAAGTAGGGTCTCTAAGAGTCAGGTCCAACTAGATGGCACATAACAATAAAAACAACAGATTTGAAAAGATGGGACAGATAGTTTTCATATTCCCTTCAAAAAGCTGTAATGTTAACATCTTACATAATCATAATTATAAAAGCTAAGGAAATAATTTTACTATGTTATTAATTTCCCTATTCATCTGTCAGTTTGTTTTACTGTGCTGCCCTGAGTGTTGCAGCGATGCTTGAAGCTATGTCACCAGTATTTGAAATACCATGAGGGTCACTCATGGTGAATAGATTTCTACAGAGCTTCCAGACAAAGAGAGCTTAGGAAGAAGGACCTGGCAACTTTTAAAGAATTGACTAGTGAAAATGTTATAATAGAAATGGAACATTGTCTGATGTAATACAGGAAAGTGAGCCCTTCAGGTTGGAAGGCACTGAAAATACCACTAAGGAAGAGCTGTTTTCTCAAAGTAGAGTCAAGCTTAGTGATGTGGATGGTGTAAAGCTTTCAGGACTTTCATTTGCTGATATGTTATGACTCCTAATGAGAAGAAATAGCTGCAAGCCTCCATTAGTAATCAGAACATGGAATGTAGGAAACATCGAGGACAGTTGTGTTGTTGTTGTTGTGTGCCGTTAAGTCGGACCCAACTCATAGCGACCCCTTCTTGGGTTTCGAGGCAGTATTACTATGGAAGTAGATTGCCTAACCTTCCTAAATGAAACAGAATGCATAAAGATAGATATGTGAGGCATTAGTGAGCTGAAATGGACTGGTACTGGCTGTTTTGAATCAGATAACCATATGGTCCAACTTTCACATGCAGATGAGGCAATAGAAAATATGATGGGTTAGGTTAGGTGCACCTTAGTTCTCAAGGTGACATAATTATTGGAGAATGGCATTATAATCCAAGATTAGAGCTTTAGATGTGCTTATTAATACTGTGATATCACTGGTTCTAGGCCCTCTGAGTAGGCAGAACTAGTATATGTATGGATGTTTATATGTATATGAATGCATAAGTATACATCTATCTCTTTCAGTATCTATCTGCATGTGTAATACACACACACAAATATATATGTGTGTCTGTGAGTATGTATGAATTTACATTGCTATCTCATACACCAGCTCTGCTAGACTCATTCCCTTCTGCTTGCTTGCTTGTTTGTAAGAATGATCACAGGAGGATGAGTGGGAATGGGACTATGAAAGGTTTGGGATGTGTTGATTGTTAGGAGTTTATGGGCCTTGTGATGGAAGCTCAGATAAGATATTATATCTAGAGATACAGACTTAAGAGTCATGAACCTTTACATATGAACCAGGGAAAGGATGTACAGAAGCAGAGAAGAGACAATATGGATGATATCTCAGGAACACCAATATAATAAAAAATAAAGGAAAACCATGAGTCATCATAAAAGATAACTATCTAAATCTGATTTTTAAACTTACTTCAGTGAGTAATAGAGATGTAATTACTCTTGTTTTCAGAATTCTAGATACTACTGTTTCTAATGTTGATCAATAATAATAATAATTAATTGTTACATATTTAAAAATAGGTTACACTAGTGAAAATAATCTACTGGTGGTTCACCAACCACTCCTTGGAAGGAAGATTGGGCAATCTACTTCTGTAGTGATATCACCGCAGAAACCCAAGGAGGGGTCGCTATGAGTTGAATTGACTCAACAGCAGTGAGTTGGGTTGCTTTTTCTCTGTATAACAATATAAATAAATAACTTAAACAACTTACTGAGACTTTGGATTAACATAAAGTTTAAAAATATTTAAGGATGCACACATAGGAAATCATAAGAAAAAAAAAGTGGTTTTAGTAGAAAAAAAAAAAAATTAAGGATATGTGTTATCTCTCGAAAGGAAGAAGATGGTTATGGTCACCAAGAGGCACACAGGGAGTTTCAGGGGCCTTGTTATGTCCTATTATCTAAACCAATTGGTAATCATTTGACTGCTAACCAGTCAAATGCTGATGGTTCAAACCCACCAAGCTCAGAAGATAGATTGGGTAATCTGTTTCTATATAGGTACCGCGTCAGAAACCCAAGGAGAGGTCGCAATGAGTCAGAATCGACTAGATGGAAATGAGTTTTCTTTTTCTTTTTTTCCCTTAATAAGTATATTTAATCTGAAAATACATATGTTATACATGATATATTGCAATTTTTAAAGTAAGTAGAAAAAAGAACCTCATATCAGAATTGGCAGCATAAGTATTTATGCTTAAATTAACTTTTTAGTGAAATTTAAATTGTTATAAAAGTTAGGAGTAGTCAAGAATCAAATGCCTCAGAAAGATCAACTGAAAAGGATATATTTTATTTATGAAGAATAATGTCTTTGACAAGAAATGTGTGAATAGAATGTTTGTGGTAGATCAGATTATTGTGAATTGAGTATTGAATGATTAGCAAGAATCAAGAGTACTATCAATGTGGATGAGATGAAACAAAGGAGAAAAGTGAAATTTAATAGTGACTTTTTGTCTGTATTTATTATTTTTAATCTGCTGGTAATCAAAGTGAATATGATAAAGTGATTACATGCACATCATCATTGTCTAAAATTAATGAAAGTATAGAAAATCAAGGTACTGTTCTTTAGCATTACAGTTTATGCCCCAAACTTTATCTAATACTATATTATATTTATATTTAATATAGTATATGTAAAAACACTGTGCTTTATATCAGAGTGAATCTGGAGTTAAAGTGGAGTTTAAATGTAGAAGCATAGGGACAAACAGCATGATTGGACACTGATGTATGTAATTTGAATGACTCTTCTCTGATGCCAAAAAAAAATGACACAAAATGAAATAAAATAGCCTCTTAGTTCATAGTTCATAACAATGGAGGCACTCCAAGAGATTTGGAAGACAGCTACCTGGCCAACTCACTGGAAGAGATTCATATTTGTACCCATTCCAATGAAAGGTGATCCCACAGAATGTGGAAATTATTGAACAATATCATTAATATTGCATGCAAGTAAGATCTTAGTGAAGATAATTCAAAAAAGATTGCAGCAGTATATTGACAGAGAACTTCCAGAGGTGCAAGCTGGATTCAGAAGAGACGTGGAGTGAGGGATATCATAGCTGCTGTCAGATGGATCTTGGTTCAAGGCAAAGAATACCAGAAAGATGTTTACTTGTATTTTGTTGACTATGCAAAGGCATTTGATTGTGTGGATCATGACAAATTATGGATAACATTGAGAATAATGGGAATTCCCGAACACTTGATTGTACTCATGAGGAACCTGTACATTGACCAGGAAACTGTTGTTCAAAGAGAACAAGGGGACACTACGTGGTTGAAAATCAAGAAGAGAGTGTGTCAGGGTTGGATCCTTTCCCCACACTTATTCAATCTATAAGCCAAGCAAATAATCTGAGAAGCTGGACTATATGAAGAAAAATGTGGCATCAGGATTGGAGGAAGAATCATTGACAACCTGGGATACACTGATGATACAACTTGGCTTGCTGAAAGTGAGGATGACTTGAGGCACTTACTGATGAAGATTAAGGAACACAGTCTGCAGTACGGATTACATCTCAATAAAAAGAAAACAGAAATTCTCACCACTGGACCAATAAGCAGCATCACAATAAATGGAGAAAAGATGGAGGTTGTCAAAGAATTCACATTGCTTGGTTCTACAATTGAGGCCAATGGAAGCAGCAGTCAGGACATTAGATGACCTGTAGCACTGGGCAGGTCAGCTGCGAAGGAACTCTTTCAAGTGCTGAAGAGCAAAGATGTCTCCTTGAGGACTAAGGTATGCCAGACATAAGTCATGATATTTCCAATTGCCTCGTATGCATGTGAGAGCTGGACAATGAATAGGGAAGACGGAGGAAGAGTTGATGCTTTTGAGTTGTGGTGCTGGTGAAGAATGCTGAAAGTAACATGGACTGCTTAAAGAACAGATCTGTCCAGGAGGAAGTGCAGCCAGAATGCTCCTTGGAAGTGAGAATGGCCAGACTTCATCTCACCTACTTTAGTCAAGTTGTCAGAATGGACCATTCCCTGGAGAAAGATGCCATCATTGGTAGGGTGGAGGGTGGATGAAAGAGGGAAAAGCATTCAACGAGATGGATTGACATGATGGCTGCGACAATGGGCTCAAGTATAGTAGCGATCACGGAGCTGGCGCAGGATCTGGCAGTGTTTTGCTCTGCTGTTCATGGGGTCACTATGAGTCAGAGACAACTCGAGGACACTTAACAACAACATTTCGTAGCAGAGGAAGAAAGCATTCAATACTATACACATAATTTATAGGCTCTGTATAAACTGTCAAACTCGTTACATATTTATTTGTATTTAACAGGAAGGAACACTTCAAGCAGTCATTGGATCCAAATTGTAAGTAGTAGAAGAATGAATTGGACTAAGAAGACATTATAATACCTATCAGATTTTGTCACATCACTGGTCTTTTCCAATCCTATAGGTAAAGACATTTCAGATAATAAATGAAAGTATTAGATTAATTGAAAAATATATATGATAAAGTGCAAAAGGCTATAAAAGTATTGAGTGTTGTACAGTTAAATAAATATTCATAAAAAACTTTCAGCTAACAAAACTTATAATGTACATCAATAGATGTGGGATTTCCAGGGTTTTTACAAGATTAATTATAAAGTCAAAGAAGATGGATATTACCTTCAATGAATGGATTTTCTAACCAATTTCCATGGCCATATGATTACACAACTTTTCTCTGATTTTTATGAGGAGATTGAGCAGAAGTACAAGTAAATGATGAGAAACCACACATCAGTAACGACATTCATACTTCTGGGACTGACAGATGATCCTCAAATGAAGGTTCTAATTTTTATGTTTCTGTTTGTCACCTACATATTGAGTGTAACTGGGAACCTGACCATCATTATACTCACCTTTGTAGATTCCCACCTTAAAACTGCCATGTACTTTTTCCTCCAAAACTTCTCCTTTTTAGAAGTTTCATTCACCACAGCCTGTATTCCTAGATTCTTATATAGCTTATCAACCGGGGACAATACTATTAGCTATGATGCTTGTGTTGGTCAGTTATTTTTTATCATTCTCTTTGGAGCTACAGAGTTTTTTCTCTTGGCTGTCATGTCCTATGATCGCTATATAGCCATCTGCAAACCTCTGCATTACGTGACCATAATGAACAGCAGAGTCTGTGGAAGGCTGGTTTTCTGCTGTTGGATAGCTGGTTTGTTAGTAATAGTCCCACCACTTTGTCCAGGCTTAACCCTGGAATTTTGTAACTATAATGTTATTGATCATTTTCTCTGTGATGCTTCTCCTCTCCTGAAGATTTCTTGTTCGGACACATGGCTCATAGAACAAATGGTGATAGGCTTTGCTGTTTTGGCCACCATCATGACCCTTCTGTGTGTTGTTTTGTCCTATACATACATCATCAAGACCATCATAAAATCCCCTTCTGCTCAACAAAGGAGGAAAGCCTTTTCTACCTGCTCTTCCCATATGATTGTGGTTTCTATGACCTATGGTGGTTGTATCTTCGTCTACATCAAACCTTCAGCCAAGGATGAGGTGGCTATTAATAAGGGTGTGGCACTGCTTACTACTTCATTTGCCCCCATGTTAAACCCATTTATTTATACCCTTAGGAACCAGCAAGTAAAGCAAGCTTTC